CCAACAGGAGGCTTCTGCGAAGGCGCCCAGGATGAACAACGGCGTGTTAATTTGGCGTTTATTTTTCTGCTGTGTGGTGAGGTGTCACTCTGTTACTGATCATGTAATTGTTTCTAAGTGTGTGTTGTGTGTGTGTGTGTCAAAATCAGGGGGCCCTCAAAAGGGTGAGACGGGTACCCTCTAAAAGTCCTACGCCGCCAGGACGCAGAGCCGCTGGTGAGTCTGGAAGGCCGTGCGTGCGTGGAGGACGGTGCAAAGGTGGTCCCTGTAGCACATGTGCAGCGCCCCAAAATCGAACCCCATGGGCATTTTGACCAGGCGCTACGGTAGACAAAGTCCACACCAGGCATCGGTTGGGATGGATGAAGGTTTATGAAACCGTCTTGGGTGATGTAGCAAGGCCTCAAGGTAGGTCTTATGAAACACTTACGGAGTGCATTATGCCGTTAAGTGCAGAACAGGTGAGGTTTTGGGTTTCAGTCGAGGCTGTGTTGTGTGCCCTCCCCTCATTATGCGGCATGTTGGTTGACAAGCGCTTTTGCAAGTTAAGTTCAACTAGTGCGACATTCAAGCTCAGAGAACCATTTTCCTGACAAAGCCCGTGTGCCAAGTAGCAAATTGGAATGGAAGAAGCTGATGGACATCGACACGTTTCTTTCTTTTTGATTTTAGACCTATTTAGCGCCCAACGTTTTTTCAGCAGAGCTTGCTTTGCAAGCGTGCGAGCCAGGCATTGTCTGAAACGGATGCCATGTGGGGGGCCCACGGATTGCGGCTATTTAACTGTTGCAACTTGGTGTGGTTGCAAGAACAACAGGAGATCATCCAGGAGATCGGATGATCATTTGTGTTGGGCAATGCGCAGGTCGGGATGCTGCTGGTGCAAAACATGTGAATGCGCTTCGGTGAGCAAACCATTCCCCCATTTGACCGGGCTCAAACTTGCCAGAGCAACTTACTTCTTTCTCATGGGCTGTCCGAAGCTGGCCCTGTAAAACCGAGTCTAAGTGCGAACAGGCCTTGTGCTTTGCAAAGAGCTCTCACTGACCAAAGTGAGCCTTTTGAGGTTGGGGGGTTGTCAACAGGGGCCCTTTTTGATACTCCCTTTAAATGGGAGAGAACTCCCAATCGACGACTGCCTTGATACAACCGGATCTACTTCTGTATAGAAAGTGCGGCAGGGTCCAACATGGAGCCAGTTTTATTTACCCTCCCACTGATCAGTATGGAACCTAACAGGGGGTCCCTTTTAAAGGAACATGGTCTTCCAGGACCCCCCGATCGTCAGGTTCCATGTGAATTGGTGGTAGGGTACCCCGCCGAAATTCTTCTCCGACCGGCGCAGGAGGCCTGCTGGAGAGAGAAGACGAAAAAGGTGAACAGCCGGCTGCGTAAGGATCATTCCTCCCGAGATCAGCACGGACCCCAGGACCCCCCCAAGAGCATCATTTCTGCAGGAAACTCCTCTTGGGTTGGATTTCATGTTTGCAGGGGAGGAAGAAGGAAGTATAGATTGGGAATGTTTGGTGGGTTCTGAGAATTTGAGGGTGTCCCTCCAAAATTCATTACAACTTGCATCGGTCGGCTTTCCTAAAGACAACAGGACCTTCCTCGAAAAAGGTGGTGTTTGGCGATATGCCGTTTCATTGGCCACTGATACGTGTGGACACCTTCCCATGCGATTGGATCCGACAAATGAGGCACAGAAGGGCTTGCCAACTTCCCTGTAGTGTCGACCCTGGCTGAAGAAGCCTGAGTGGATGGGCTGGTTCTTCCCGGAAGATGAAGAAATTCCTCCATGGCACACAGCACACACACACACAGACTACTCGTTATTTTGAGCTTGATCATCACCCGTTTGCGGGTCATTGGATGGCGCTTCCCCGCAGGTTCAACCTGGAGAAAGCCCACATCATTTTGGATGAGATGGTCCTGGACGGCTGCATCGTTGACACCAACAAGGTGTGTGTCAGGTTGGCTCGGCTTCGATGGAAACACTTTCTTGCCACGTTCTTCATCGCAGTTGAGGAGACAAACGTGTTTGCTACGTCAAGTCACAGGCATCCAATTCTAGGGAGCCACTTTTTTGTTCAGGCACCGTCCCTTCTTTCCCCAGAAGCTTTTGAGCGGTGAGGTGGATTCCTGCTGTCACTTCAATTTGAAATGGACCTTTGGACCTTTGGGTTTCCCTTTTCTGTTGGTCTTCGTCTCACTCCCTGAGTTCATTCATGGACTCTATAGAATCCTTTTGGGAAGACCATTTTCGTGGCAAACAAGCAAAATGGACTTTCGTTGACCAGTCCGCTCAGGAAGTGAATTGTTTAGGCGTCTTTTTTCTTTTTTCTCCAACAGCTGAAAGCTTTGGGGTCTCAGCCCAGATGAGCCACAATCAAAACCCGGGTAGATGTAGGGTAGTAAGGGGCAGTCCCAGCCAGAAATAGTTGCGGCCGCCTTCTTAAATCTTTACATGGTTCTGGGTAGACCATTTTAATACCGGGTTTTGATTGTGTCCGGCGGCCCTGAGGTAAGGTTCCACCAAGGTTCCACCAGGGTTCCACCAGGGGTCCACCAGGGTTCCACCAGGGTTCCACCAGGGTTCCACCACCTCCACCAGGATTCCACTAGGGTTCCACCAGGGTTCCACGAGGTTCTACAAGGGGTGCGAGTACTAAAAAGAGCACCGCATGCTGTTGGGGATATCACCTGAGCTTATTTTTCCGATATGTCAATCACCCTGAACAGTGAACCTCGCGCTTCTAGATTCTTTGAATGACGCGTATGCAGTGCTTGGGCATGTCAAAGGCACCCTAGTCGGTGGGTTCGCTTTCAAAAGCGACAGAAAGGTGGTCTTGTCCTTTCCCCACGAAACTGGGCAAGATAAACATAAACGAAAGGCAGTTTCGTTCGCTTGGCGACCTTGGGCGGGCTTGGGGGCATCCAGCTCTCATTTCAGGTTGCCGAAATCTGATATTTGTGCTGGCGCACCGCCAAGCGTGGCTGACAGAGCCTGCTGCAAGGAGTAAGAAAGGTTGGTGAGTTATGATCGTCTTTATGAGATTGAAGCTAGCTTTGTTCACCCTTCAATTCAACAACTCGAAGGACCAGCTTATGTTGACGCATATATGTATCAAGCGTGGGTCATTTTAAATTGAAATCCTTCCAGAGCATTGCTTCATCCAGCCTTCGAGGCAGCGATCTTGAACCCCCTGTACTTGCTGGAGAAGCACTCCAGTTGATGCACTTGCGCGCGCGGCGCAAGAAACAAACGCGCTGAGCCCGCTGCATTTCCGTGCAAGGGATTGAATAAGTAGTAGTTCAAAGTCGAACCCTCCCGTCCACTCACATAGAACCCACCAAAGGGGTCCCCTGAGCAAAATGGCCTTCCGGGACCCCCCCCAGTCATCTTCCATGTTGGACGGGAGGACAATTTACAACAAATAGAGATCAACATGTCGAGTCTAGCAAAGTTGAAAGGCATGCCTACAACCAGGACACCTGCACGGTGCGTCCCATGGCCCTGCCCCGAGTTAGTCGTTCCTTCAGAAGAGTGTTCCCAAGAAAGATGAATCTTTCGTTTTTATTTTGATGGCACATATTGTGCTTCGACAGCCTCCGATTGGCTTCCCGTTCAAGTGGAGGGGGCTGGTTGCAGAAGCTATATGCAAACCCAAACCTGCTGTATGTTCATGAGCCACCAGCGAATCATAGCTGTGACTGCCCCAGAACACCTGCCATACAACAACACTGGGTTGTGTCATGGGGTATTGAACAAACAATCTCCTGTCATTGTGGTAGCTTGTATGTCCAATTACCTGCTCGCATGTTTTGGAACAGCCCTGCATGCATTTTACCGCTGCGGCGGTCAACATTCGTGCTCAAGCATCTTCAGTCGCATTCCTGTTGTAAGAGTGCTTGTTGCTGGTCCCCATCTAAGCTTGGTGGCGGGATGCTTGTCATCTACGTGGTAGTTAGAATGATTCCTAGTAAGCAAACCATGACCATAGGCCATGAAAGGAGTTTGGTGTTGCTCAAACGTTTAGATAAGGGGTTGGCGCAATGCTGACGTGTGTTTCTTATTCTTCCTGGTTTGAACATATGTTTTAGTACCGTACTTGTGGAACGCCGAACTCTCTCGTCCCACACAGTTGTTTCGGTCTGAGCTGCTCAATCAAAGACGGCTTCGGTCCCGCATATCAAGATCAGGGGAGACATCCACTTAATGTCTTCATATTGAACTGTGCGGGGAAGCTCATAATTTCTCGTCCCATACTTTGGGCCAAGTTGTCTGATTATTTCAGGTCTTGACACCTCGTGGTAGGAAGCTTGCTACACCCGAGTTGTTTCGCCATGACGTGGGAGCGTGCGGCTTCGCGCTCGCATTCAAGCAACGACTGGCCGAATGACGGCTTTTGGAAAGGTCCCACTCGGGAAGGTGCTGCTTGGGGTGATACGCATCGCAGTCACGATTGGCACAGCGCAGGTGAAACTTGGTGGGAGAAGGGCGAAGGCTCGTCGGCCAAAGGGTATTTTGCTGACCATGAAGACTGGAATGTAAATGACAATGCGCATCAGCAAAGAAACAGTTGGCACGTAGACGAACGTTGGTGGGGGAAGAAGGAGGCTGGTGGATGCACATTTAGTGACAGTTTCAATACGAGTTCCTGGACAGGCAGGGACGATACATTGCAGCAGCATGACGACCATTTGTGGGGGGGTTCTTGGTCAAGTAATGCAGGTGACGCTTGGTGGGGGAAAGACGCCGGATCTCGCGAGTACTCTGCTTGGCAGACGAATAGCGATGCGTGTCATGATCGAGCTGACAACTGGCATGGTTCTGGGTCAAACGACTCACATGACACTTGGCGGAGGAAAGATGCTGGAGAGCACACAACTGCCTCTGAGCACTTTGCTTGGGACACGAATCGTGATGCACATAAGGATCGAGCTGATAACTGGTATGGGTCTTGGTCAAACGACTCACACGGCACTTGGTGGGGGAAAGATGCTGGATCATGGGAGCACACAATTGCTCGCGAGCACTCTGATTGGGACGCGAATAGTGATGCGCATCATGATCGAGCTGGCAACTGGCATGGTTCTTGGTCAAACGACTCACACGACACTTGGTGGGGGAAAGATGCCGGATCATGGGCACACAAAACTGCTTTAGAGCACTCTGCTTGGGACGCAAATAGGGATTCACATTGTGATCGAGCTGACAATGGGCATGGTTCTTGGTCAAACTACTCAGGTGACGCTTGGCGGGGGCAAGATGCTGGATCATGGGCACACAAGACTTCTTTAGAGCACTCTGCTTGGGACACGAATAGTGATGCATGTCGTGACCGAGCTGACAATTGGTACGGTTCTTGGTCGAAGGACTCAGGTGACACGTCGGATAAAGACCCCGTATCATGGGAGCACACAACTGCTTCGGATCACTCTGCTTGGGATACGAACAGTGATGCGTGGCATGTCCGAGCTGACAATTGGCACGGTTCTCGACCCAGCGACGCATCTAACATGAATCCGTTGGACAAGGACAAGCGGGGGCCGAAGTCTTCCCCTGATTCAGGCTCGGGTCAAAAGGCTTCCGGAGGGACAAGCGGTGAGAGCGATGCTTGGAACAGAGCTGGCGATTTGATGCAAGAACAGGTCACGCCTTCTCGGGAAGGCCACTGGGATCTATCTACTTGCACGGCTGACCAAGTCGGTCCAATTGTTGCGGCGCCAGCTCCTTCACCAGCGCTAGTTTCACCGCCTCTTGGTCGCCAATTTTGACAGCCAATGCATGAGAAGCCATGTTAGTGACAAGATCGCTTGCATGTTAGTGCGTGGCATGATGTATTGGATTGTATAAGGATCTAAGGCAACGGTAGGCAAAACTTGAACCCTTTGGCAGGGCTTCTGGTCGAAAGCACGGGTCACCCGTTCTCTCAGACTTGGCTGGCAAATCTACAGGACCTTGCCCAAATACGAACCAGATGCCAGGGTGTTGGTTCTTGAAGATTTACAGCCAGAAAGACCCAATTGATCAGCGACCAATACTCCTATTGGCCATTTCAAGCATTAATAGGTGGTTCTAGTAGACCTGGTTTCGGGGTTAGACTTCAGCCTGACACAGCCTGCATACCTTTGTGACTATCTTATTCGGGCGCTGCTCAATTGGCCCCCCGTCTTAGCAGGTGGTTCTACTATGGTTTAATCGGGGTAATAATACGGCAACTAATATATATATATATATATATACATATGCATATGTATATGCATATATATATATATATAGATATAGGCATTTGAGTGAATCAAAAGGTCAATGCGCTCATGTGCGGATCGTTTGACGGAGAAACCCTTTCTGGTGGAAAACCAGCAAACGCCTCTATAGGTGCAACTAACCCCTTTAAAGAGGCCCCTTTTCAGAGAAAGGTTATTTATACTAATATGAGGGGCTGGATAATTTCATGGGGTGTGGAGCGCCATAAAACTCGATTAATTCATGACTTTGGGATCATGTTTGTAATTCTTCAACCTCTTGTATTGCACTCGCATTCGGAACTTAACATTTGGGATTTCCAGATACCTTGCAATGTTTACCCCCCTGTTTGTGATTTCTCCGTGTGCGTGTGTCTACTGTGGATGACGGGCACTTTACAAACGTCGCTCTTCGTCATTTTTTACAGGCTCTCGGTTGACCTTCAAAAGACACGCTCTAGTGTACATTATCTCTTGTTACGTGGGGTCCTTTATTGTTGATCTACGAAGGTCAAAAAGAAGGGCTGTGGTAGTTTGGTGATGTTTGCGCACTTCTGTGATAATCACCCGGGAAGCAGCCGCTTGAGTGAAGATTTATTCATTGGGAAGGCATATTTCTCAGTGGTAGTCTAGTGGTTGCAATGCCCGGTATCATACTTGGCAGGTTCAACCCAGGTCAGCTGCAAGTTCGAAGTCTTAGCATTCCCAGACTCAGCTTCCTTTTTCCAGTATTTGCCTTTTTTGGTTTCCTTCATCTCCCAAACCAAAAGGTTGCCTATTCGTCCGGATGGGGCCCGGAAATGGGGCAGCCTCATGTCTTGCGAATCGAGGCTGCGACCCGTGGTGGTGCTGGGCTTGCCCAAGTGTGGCACCACCTCCCTGAACGACGCCTTCGTCGCGGCGGGCCTGCGCTCTGTGCACTGGGCCCTTGACGTGGGCAAGAACTCCAAAAACGACCGGGCGGCGGGTGTGTTTGGGCGGGTGTGTCCTTGCCGGCAGAATCAAGTTTATTTGCTGGGCAGTTTTGTGAAAATAGTTGGATTTGACTAGTTTCAGTTTGGTTCTATTTCAGTTTGGTTCCACCTTGATGAACGTGTGACTCAGTGCTGTGAATGGATCCAGTTGGAGGGGTCGATGAAAGGGAAGGGGCAGAGATTCGAACTGTCCTTCGCCCTTCTTTGCGGAGATTCGTTGTTGGAACAACTGACCAGTGACCAGCTATGTCGATTTGTTTTTGATTACTGAGCAAAGCAATCAGTGGCACGCGAAGATCAACCCTCGTCAATTTGGTTTGAATAATTCCGGCCCTCAAGGAAGCCCACTAGAGGTTTCTCCATTTGTACAAAGAACGGACAATTGCCTGACAGCTTCATGCAACCCAACCCTTTGGCTACACATGTAGTAGAATACATAGATGGAATGTATTGCCTATACATAATCGATGATATGTAGCTATATGCTCATCTACAGCTGTACCAGGGGTCTACGGTTGAGTCCTTGCAGTATATTTTGAAGGTTGAAGAGAAATGGTCAATCAGTTCATCACACGTTTAGGGGGAATGCCTAACCGGCCTTCTTCACCACTCCAGGACTGCCCCAAAACAGAACACATGCGTGTGGGATTTTGTGCATGGCTTCAGTGTCTGATTTCCTTTTGGTTACCTAACAGCTGCACAGACACAAGCTGCTAGAAGATAGATATAGAAGGGTAAAAGAAGAGAGAAATAAATAAATCATTATTCACTTTCTATCCGTCCTTTCCCTACGTTCTCTCGCCTAAGCTCTTGAACTCTGGAATAGACGAACGAATGCATGAGTGAGGGAGACATAGGCCATCTCTTCATCCGTCCTCATTCACTCTATCATTTGGAAGGATACAGAGATGAGTGAAAGGTGAAGGAGAGAAATAGGGAAATGATGGGCATGTCTACATTCTTTATCCTTTTCTCTTTGACATGCCATTTCCCTCTCTCATTCCCGCTCCCTTCGCTTCTCCGGTCGCTTCCTTGAGAGTTAGGAGCTGGTGAAGGGAGGTACAGAAAGGTAAATACAAGAAGGATTCTCAATAAAAGCATTTCACCTCCATAATTTTCCCTCTCACACACTTGTCTAAGGGAGGTGGGATGACACGGGTCCAAGCAAGCATGGGAAGGCATAGGAAGAGAAAGGGAAAGAAGCCCATCTTCAGTCACTTACATCCTGCCCTCTCTCAGCTAATAATTTGGGGCAGGAGAGAGTGAGTTAGAGAGATGAGAGGAGTGGCCAGTCTATTTCCCTTTATTCCTCTCTTTCCTCGTCATCACGGTCAATCTCCTGTTTACTCCTCTAATCTTAGGAATTACATGGCATTCATATCCTTCTCATGGACTCGTCTCCCAGCCATTAGGAAAGAGACGAGGAAGGATATGGAAAAGAGAGAAAGAGACCAGCCTACTTCCTTCGTGCCCTCACCATCCGTTCGGATCCTTAGGTCGTAGGTGTCTCTCATGTCTTTCTTTCCCTTGCATTTCCTATCTGTTTCTCTTCTCGGAAATGCTTGACAGGGAAAGGAATAAGTGAGCCATCTTTCCCATCATCATGCCTCTCCACAGATTATTAGCTCAGAAAGGGAGAGGCAATGATGGATGTTTTATTGGCCATTCTTTCGCAGCAGACCCCATCAAAGCTGAGCATTTGTCTTGTCTCCCGACTTCGATCGGCTAGATGGGGAAGGATTCACCACGTCACCCTCCATTGCGCCACACGCACACACACACACAATTGTCGGGGCCACCCACCCTAATCCACCCTGTTTTGCCACACTATATTAGTGCATCCCCCAAAAATGTGGGAAGAGGCAACATGGTGGCCTTGGATCCTTAGTGCTGTCAAGATGCCAAGTTCGCGTGAACCGAAGGAACCGATGTTCAGCCGACCCCAATTGGCAGTGGACAGCCGACTAAGAGACCTGCAAAACAGGGTGGGATAGGGTGGGTGGCCCCGACAATTGTGTGTGTGTGTGCGGCGCAATGCGAGGTGACGTGGTGAATCCTTCCCCATCTAGCCGATCGAAGTCGGGAGACAAGACAAATGCTCAGCTTTGATGCTGTCGACTAAAAGTCGTATTTCCTCCAAAGCAGGGCTTTCTGGGGGTGGTTGCCTTTAAAAGGGCAGCAACAGAGGAAGCTGTTCAGTGGTGTGAATGGAGGACAAGCAGCTGCGCGAGTGGGGAACTGGCAGCGAGGAGCGTTTGGTGGGGCGCCTCATCCAAAGCGCGGTGATGCAGAACAAGCCCCCCTTCTCTTTGCTGCCGCAGGTGTGGTCGTGGGAAGGGGAGGCCCCGGGAGAATATGACAAAGTACACATGAGCCACAAGGATGGCCTAGATTTGTATCGCAGAAAACGGGTTATATATTTTCTGCAACCATGGGCACGGTTGTGGGAACTGGTGCTTCTGCTTGTTTCTTCCTGGTGGCCAAGTTGTTTCAAAGCCCCCTTTGCAACAAGGTCGTCACATGGACTGGGAAGGAAGAGGAGTCCTTGTCGAGCCTGGAACTGGAAGCCGTGCTCCCGAGGATGGGTGTCGGATGGGCAGGTTTTGGCCCTTACCCTACTGAGCGGGGACAGCCTCGGGAGAGAACTCTGGGGCTTAGCAGGACGGCTGGCGCCGAGTTGGGGTAACTCCAAACAGGTCTTCATGCAAGCAGGGCACCAAGTACTTTCTTCCTTGTATGTGAAACGACTATGATATTGGGATAAACTTTACAAAGCTACTTTGATACTATGGTACACTTTTCACTTGAGTCGTTCGGGGGTCATCCACTCCCACGGGCACTTGGGCCGGGGTTCTCCGTTGGCCAGGTGGATGCCTTCGCTGAGACCCTTGGCACGGTTACCCGAGAGACAGATGCATTCCCTCGGGTGGGTATTTCAACAACTCAATGTAATTAGCTGGCAACTGATTTGGTTGCTTGAAAGTAATGAGTGCCCCTATGGAGAGCGGATTTTGACAGAAACATCGGCATGTAGGAGTGTCAACCACCTGCACGCTCCAAGCGGCATGGAACTGCAAACAGTTTTTAAAACGCCAGTAGCCACAACGTGTTTGAACTCCCAAAAGCAACAGTGCCTTTGGAGAAATATGTGTATATGTCCAAATAGGGTTACCCCCCAAAGAATCCGAAAAGAGGTCCTTCTCGTGTTGTTTTGCACATTGTGTACCCGCCTTCCTTACTGACAGTTTGTGTGTTTTGGACCCATTTGTGACAGATTTGAACAGCTCACCCGGTTGCATGGATCCTGCCAGACCTTTGTCGTTTTGGTGTTTGGACACTCCCATCAAGTCGTTCTTTCGGCAAATTTCCCTGGTCATTGCAGCCATTTTCTGATGCTTGCCATGGAAGTGTTTTGGTGGATGGCCTTGAGGATCAATGGCCTTTACTGGGCAGATCGCAAGAAGGAGACTCGGGGTGCTCGTGCCTGTTGCGATTGTCAAAGAGCCGCCTTCAAATGGATCTCCCAAGCAGGAGATCTTTTTGGGGGCACCCTGAGTTGCGAAGTACTCGTTTCCCGGTTTTGTTTGGTTTCCCCTCGATACTCAATCCCCAAAGGGCTGCTTGGGACCGGCTTTTGGGTTGGCCAAGCCCTTTGTGGCTCCAATGGCATCAGGTACCGTAACGCTGAAGATGTGTCCGAAACTTGAACCCGTTTGGAATTTAACAAGCAGGAGACACACGAAGACCCCCTGCCTCCCCAGAAATGTTCTCAGAACCTTCTTAGAAGTGTTCTCAGAACCCTTCTTAGGAACCCTGAAATGGTTCTGGCGGGTTCAGGCCCTTGATTTCCGCCCCAAACGGCCATGCTATGGTGTCCTCTTTGGTCAGTCTTGAGTTTGTTTCGAATCGTTCGCTGGTGCCGTATTTTGTTTCCAACCCGTTTGTGGTACTTCGGCCTCTCCTTTGGGAAGCGGCCGCCTGCTTTTTTCCCGCGTTGCAGGAGTCGGTCCGGGCGTTCTTCCCACAGGTGCAGTATTTGCAGCACTTGCTGCAGGCCTATCCGGACGCCCACTTTATCCTCAACGTGCGAGAGTCTCAGCTGCAAACAACTCACTCCCTGAGTTCTTGGACTTTATACCTTTTGGGAAGACCATTTTCGCGGTAAACAACAAAATTGAACTTTTTGGCCAGTCCACTCAGCAAGTGAGACAAAACAAGAAGATGGTTGAGCTGAACCCCCTTCGGGTCCGATTGGGGCTTGATCAGGATGACTAGTGCGGTTGGCCTAAACTTGGATGGTAGCTGCACTACGACTGCCTGGACCGCAAAGGCAGAGATCTATGAATGTCCAAGTTCGTTGGTGGGTGGGGTGGGTGGGTGGGTGGGTGGGTGGGGTGGCGGGTGGGTGGGTTGCTTGAATTGAATGGTGGGGTGGTTGGGGTGGTTGGGTGGTTGGTTGGTTGGTTGGTGGTTGGTCGATGGGTTGATGGGTCGATGGGTCGACAGGTTGTGGGTTAGCGTTGCTTCTGTCGCTTGGGTGGTTCAGTCGGTCAAAACCCTCAGGGCAGGCTGATGTGAGCAGGCAGAAAGGCACTATCGGCCATTGGTCCCAATTGGTTTACCAGGGCCCAATTGTTTACTCTTGCGCTGGGGTCTCCAGAGCCCTGTTGAGGGGTCCTACAGGAACCGTACATGTCCCGTGTCAGGCGGTTACAGCATCACCCGTTGCTTGCATTCCCTTTGCTGGGATGATGTTTAAACGGGACGCATGAGGAACCCGTACTGTATCTCCCTTGTTGTTCAGTTCTCTTCGGGGGCCGGCTTTCCACTTGAAGAGCTGCTAAACATGCAAGTCGGGTCCAACCAGGATAGGAAGCAGCAATCATCACTTGTGGATTTATATATGTGGGAGATGTTGAGAAGTATGTGTGTTGCTTGAGGGCTTCGATTTCGTGTTGTACAGAGAAGCACGTGACCTGATTTTGAGATCTACGTCTTACGGCTTCCTTTAGAGTTGTGAAATGCAGAGCTGAGTTGTGTTTCTAGCGTTTTTGTTGCCATTTTGTTTTTCATAGGTGATCGGTGATCATGATGTGGTCTTCTCTTTCGGCTCGGCTTTTTGCTGTGTGGCGCAAGCCCCTGGCTCGGCTTCTCACCCCGGCTCAACGAGGACCACGGCGCCTGGGCGCGGTCGGTGTCGCAGCACAACGACATGCAGCGGCGCCTCACGTTGGCGGAGCTGCCGAACCTGCCCCGAGGCACTTGACTCGGAACCCCGGATCTAAGTAGAACGAAACGTTGATCAGTTGGGTGTCCCCTTTTTAGTGGGGGATCATCACTTTTGGAGGTGAGCACCCCCCGATCAATAGGATAGGTTTATTGATTTTACAAGGGGTAATTCATGGGATGCTCGGTGGCATCAACATGTGTGTGGTTTGTGTTTGAGTTTCCTACTGGGAAGCTTACTTCGGTGTTCGGCCGCATTGGCAAGTTGTTGAACAGCTAAATAAGTCCCCCATTCAGTTGGTTTCTCCTGTTACTAGTGGGTTAGTGGGGTTACCCCCGTTATTCGTGGGAACACGAACGATGACTTTTGGTCCATCATGTTGTGGTCCTTTCGCTGCATGTTTCTGGGAGTATGGCCAAGCCACGATTGGCGCAACGTGGAATCCTCACCCAAGTTGCTTACCACTCACCTGACGAGAACCCTCAGGCAGCGGCAGCGCGGAGGAGCTGATGGCCTGGGCGGAATGGCACCACCAGAGGCCAAAATGAGATGTCGGGCTCATGGGCTCATGGGAAACGGAGGAAAGGACCCCCCTATTCAACCGTGCCTCTACTTTAAGGAACTCCCTAAATTCATGGGCCATTTTAGTGGTATACTAAAAGTTTGGGAACTTTAGTGGGTTTGAGGGGCGAAGTATAGCCTGAGAAGACTGGGCCTTTGAAGGGGTTAATGCTACGCAAGTGACAGCTCCGTATCAAAGCCCGCCGTCCCGGGTGTCAGGTGTGAGCCCGGCCTAGCAGCCATCTCGCAATCTCTTGTGTCTTCTTCTGAGGGCAAAGGCACGCCGAAATCTATTTTGGGGGGTCTAACAAAGACACACGGTTAAACAAGGGATGGCTGTTTTGGATTACAACACAGATGCGTTGGCTGCCTTGCCAGTGTGTGCGGGTGTGTGCCCAAGAATGGGGTACACCTGTTTTTGGACGGCATTGAAGCGATGTCAACGGAAATCTGTAGTTGTTCTGGGGATCTCAAACTTTGGAAACACCCAAGTGATTCAGCGCCAGTTGGATAACTCTGCACTGGTAACGAGGAGCGACTAGCTGGCCATGTATACCCAGAGTTTTGTGAAGTTAACCACTTGAACTTTGCTCGACAGGGAACGCCATGTTTCCCTTTTAAGCCAAGCAAGCGATAGAGAGCGGCAGGGGGCGTATTTTCCGCAACCTCCATTTCGAGGGCCCCTGGTGCCCTGTGCCCATTCAAGTCCCTGGTCTCATTTTGAAAAGGAACCCTATTGGCAGCACAATGCTCGCGACTCGCGGAAGGCCTCGCCGAGGACTTAAACTTCTGGCTTCCGGGCTCGGATCGAATTAGACACAATGGTCCCAGTCATCATTTGGGTCTTTTTTGGGAGTACCCCTTCCTGGTTGGATTCAAAGGGAACTTTGGAAACTTAACCATTTTGAGACTCATGTCGGGCTGCTTTATGTAGGAAGCACACTCGCCCGCTTCACCTTTTTACAAAGGCTCATGGGATGTCAATTCGATGGATGTTCAGGGTCATCAAGTTCGCCACCTACTCGCAAGTGCGGCGCCTTGGAGCACCTGATGTGTTTTAGTGTACCCGCTTTGGGGTTGCTTAAAAGGGAACCCAAAGCAAAGCCACCAGTAACTGGGCGAGAAAAACAACACAATTTTGACACATACCCACCTAATGATTCAACGGTGACCTTGGCCCCATGCGCCGCCTTTGCGTCTTGGTGGCCAGACAACCAACCAATCAACCCACCCACCCACAGAACCAACCCAACCCCACCACCCCAATCCAATCCAACTCAACCCAACCCAACCAACCAATCAATCAACCAGGCGGGGAAAAACGTGATGGACACACATCCGCAGCCGGTTGAGTGGCCAGCCGATGGTTTTCTGGAGGGATCACAGCTGTGGTTTCCCTTGAGTTGCCACAGCCCACAGCGGCTCCAAAGACTTGAGCAATGATACTGTGGTTCCCCCAACTTCAAGAGCATTTTTTTGTGTTTGTAGGAGTCAAATCCAAAGGAAGTGTTCCTTTTAGAGAAACGTTTCTTCTCGGGGTCCAAGGCTTGGACTCTGTGCAGGGCCTGTATGGCTCATCACTATTAGGCTGCAACGGCTTTCCTTACCATGGCTCGATCAGTATATGTCTCAGGGAACCATGCCTGGAGCCGTTGGAGTCGACCAACATGTCAGTTCACTCAGAAGGCAATTAGGTACTCCGGAGCCTCCCCCGCTACCGGCTGCAGAACTCCGGTGTCTTCCCCGAGACACAATTTAGGGAACCATTTTCCAGCCAGGAGCCCAACTTGTTTTTCCGAAACAAAGTAAAAAGGTGGGGCAAAGGGACCACCGGTAGGAACTAGGAACCAACCGCCCCTTCCAACCAGTGGGATGTGTCCTTCGAGGTTCCTGCGTTTTGACATCGACGTGCACGGCGCCGCAGAGTTGAGCGCCTTTCTGGGCCGCGAGATGAAGTGGCCCCACAGCAACGCCACGAAGCGGTGAAGTGGTGCCGAGGACGGGAGCTTGGAGTGATGACAGCACCTGGGAGTTTGATTCAAAAAGGGGAGAGACTTCACAGGGGAAACGGAAGGGGAACCAACCAGTTTTTGGAGGGGTTTCTTCTTTGTGAAAAGCACTCACAGAAGTGTGATGTTCCCAAAAGGAACCAACAACCGGGGGGGTTGTGATTTTGTCCCGGAACGCGATGAATTTGGTTCAACTTGGTTTGAACAACCACCCTGGCCCCACCCCCCCCCGGTAGAGAAATCTGAACCCAAAGCAATCACAAAGCAATTGTCATGGTTCAACCAACCGCTTGCCCCCCTTGGGTTTGGTGGGGGGCCGGGGGGGGGGGGGATATGCGTTTGTGAAAAGGGGAACCAAGAGGAAAACACAATGTTCGGGGGCCCAGCCTTAAGAAAGACACACCCGTCGTGAAGTTTCTTTGGCTGAGACTCACCCCTTCAAAGGGTCTTCAGTGGGAGGGTTGGGCGTTCTTGTCTATCCTCTGAAGTCAAGGTGTCGGACTTCAAATTGGATTTAGATTCCTCAGGCGTGACTGAGCCGAGCACCGCAGGACCAGAGCAGTCCGTGCGACTGGGCGCTCAGCCAGTTCCAAAGCCTCGGAGCGCCCGGGCTGAATGCTGTGCCCTTCCTTAGCACAACTCCTTTTGACAGCGATGGTTTTTTTCGGCTGGCTTTGAAGGCATGGTTTGTTGGGAAAGTAATGCTAAGTTCGGATTAATCTGGAGGACACCTCTAGTCAGGGAACGCGCCTGAAACAGATCATGTCCCTACTAAAACTGGGGACCACCCCTGAGTAGTACGGTCCTCCAGATGAATCCGAGGTTGGAATTACTTTGACCCATGCGGGAAACCCATCCCTGGGCCCCTCCCGCCTCGAGAATGTGCCGATCCAAGGTCGCTCCAAACGGACGACCGAAACGGAGGCCAAGACGGGGGGTGTTGGTCACTGTAGCTCAGTTTTGGGACACCCACTTGCCAACCTTCAAACATAATCTTATAATATTATATGTATATATATATATATATATACATGATGTATATATATATATATATAGATGGGTACCATCTGTATAACTCAGTTGGTTCAAACCGACCAGTTGCTTAAACCCGCGCCTTTTAACCCTTTTGCTTTTCCCTTGTTGGTCTAATTACCTGCAGTAAAGGTCCCCAAAGGCGATCACCTTTGATGTCTAGGGCCTCCGTGCAAGTGAGGTGATCCTGGATTCTCAGCTTGTGAGTGGTTTCCCTTGTGTCTCAGAAGGATGAGGTGGGACCTTTCAGAGCTCGGCTCTTCAACGGGCAGCTCTCGGGCTTCAGGGGTCAGTCGGCATTTATGCTCCCACTTGGTATATTAAATATGAATGCACGAGAGAACAGCAGCAATAACAGAGTCGGGAGCTGCTGCCACCATCTTGATCCAATATTCATCCACAGCGAGCGGTTCTGTAACGCTGTGTGAAGTCAATTTAGGATGAAGTTGCATCAACATCGGGATAGATAGCGTTAAAGGCAAGGCTACCACTTTGTTTTCCTGTGGCATCCCAATGTTCAGGTAAACCTTCATTGGTGGTTTGGATTGGTGGTTTAAAGGTTTGAACGATCCTTTTGAAGCCAGGGGAAGGTACAGTGTTTCCTAACCTCCAAATGACCAAACCACCAATTAAGGGTTGGCTTTGATTCGTTGCCTTGTTTGGGGTGTCCAACTGCCGTGTTTCACGGCCAGGTGCACCCCGAGAGAGCCGAGAACATTTCCAAAAGGAGCAGAAGCAGCCGAGAAAATGAGACGAGAGCGAGGCCGGCGTGGCAAACCGATGCGGGAGTAGTGCGAGAAGTGCGAAAAAGGTTGGGCTGTGTGTCTTTTTTGCGGGTGTTTGTGTTGGGTTGGCTTAAAGGGGAAACCAAGAGGAAAGCCGAAATTCATCTTGTGGGGTCCCCTACAAACTGACAGCCCAAACCCAGTTTACAGCACGTGGATGTACCAGAAGATCCAAAAATGATGGGCGCTGAGAATCGGGGGAGGAGCCGGGTCTATAGTCAGGTTCTGCGGGTCTTTACAGTGTGTGTGTCTGCGTGTGTTAGTCTGTCTGTGTGTGTGTGTGTCTTTGGTTTGGAGGGGAACGTTTTCAGCTTGGCTTCAAGGGAAGCCAACGGGAAAACCGCCATTTTTTGGTCCCCTAGTTTGACCTCTGGGTGTTCTCGAAATTGCGGACCCCCCTCATGGTTGGCATTAAAGGAAACCAAAAAGGAGACCAGCTCTTCACTATTTGAGGCACCCCGATTTTGAGGCGAACGCACATACGTGGACAAGGCTCAAGCTCCGCCGGCACTCCATCTGCCTTGGTTTCGCCCCTCATGGCCGCCATCGCCAGGTCCCCGGGCCTCGGGCTGGGCCAATCAACCTGAGAAGTGGCTCCCAAAAGCAGATTCCTCTAAAGACCACGTGCGTTTGCTTCGGAATGTTGGGGTGCAAAGTAGTTTTGCAAGCCCCTCAGGGTCAACGCAGGCGGCATGCACGACCTGGCCAGCTCAAGACAAACTCAGTGGGCCTATGTCCACTTGACCGGCTTGCGAAACTGCCAGGTTCGGGCCCGTGCCAACTGGTTGAATCCTTAAAATTGGCCCAAAGCGACCTTTTGACCTTTTGGTTTTCCCTTTTCGGCAACTGTCCGAGCTGGGCAACTGAGTCAAACAAAGTTGGTCTCCTCTTGGCTGTCCTTTATGCGAAATAAGCCAATTCTGATCACTTGGTAACTGCTTGTCCAATTGCCCCTTTTCCATCCTTTTCCGGAGAAGGGGCAGAATCTAGAATGGTGCAGGGTACTTTGAGAAAAAACTCTCAAGATATGATCAATCGGGAATCTTGTGTAGTAATTAATTTATCTCACGCGCCCAAAGCGAAGGCCTTTTAACCTTGTGGTTTTCCTAATTTGCTGTTTCTTGAGTCACGGCCCCAAGAGGTCAAGCTCTTTTCTGGGGTCATTTGGGTATTTGATTGACATGTTATTTTCCGGGCATCCTGCAGCTCCAATCACTTTCAAAATCGGATTTGCACAGGTTCAGACGGGTGCGTGACGCGTGTCGGGGCTTTGCGCTTTGAAGAGAAACACAATTCGATCCCTGGGGATTCCAACATGGGTGACCCTGGAAAATGCTTGGCTTCAAAGTTGGTGTCTCTGAAGAAACACCATCAACAGAATGGTTCTCAGCTTTTGATACGTGCCATACGCAAGCAAGCTAGCGCTTGTGTTAGTGTAGGAATGTGAGCCTCAACCTAACAAGTACCATGTTGACAGTGCTATGTTTCAGGGGAGGATGAGGAGGATGCAACGGGTGCAGTGAGACGGCCTGTCTAAGACGTGGCCTTGTCTCTAATCGAGGGAAGCTTCCCAGTGCTGCCTCGCATCTCCAACATGGCAATCCTCCGATCGGGCGATTTCCCGACGGGCGTCTCTTTTCACAGCACCTGTTTTTTTTGCAAGCGAAACCACAGCCTAAAAAGAGCACCCTCACGAAAACGGGCTACAAGAAAGGCAAAGGGAAAGGGGCGAAGGTTTCGCGTGGCGTGTCGTAGAATAGGTGTGTGTGTGTGTGTCTTATAGGGCACCCGAAAACTGGATCTCGGTTTTCCTGTTTCTTTGTCTTGAAAACCAACCTGGACCTCCGTCGTCCTGAACAAAAAAAACGTAGTTTCCGCCTTTGACTGGATATTCGGGAAATCGTAGCACTTTTTGCCGCAAAACCTGAAACTCCTGAACTCCTAAAAAGGCACACTTTTTCAATGCTCGCGGCCTTTGACAGATTCAAGGAAGCTTTGCAGGGGCAAACAGCTTGATGCAGCCCGCAAGTTTGTCAAAACATGCAACGGCGGTCCAAGGTTGTGCGTTGCAGAAAAAGCGTACCCATTTTGACCGCAAAACGCCCGCAAATTTCCGCAAATCTCCCGCAAAAACCCGCAAACTCCCGCAAATCAGAAAAAATCGTAGTTTTGAATGATCAAGGCATTTTATGGAGTTCACTGGCACGTTGGCAAGTGCTGCGAGGTTTATTTGCTTGTATGGCCAATCGTAGGGGTCTCCTAAAACACCCAGACATTTCCCGGAGTTTGAAGGTCCAGGAAGGGCACTTCCATACAGATTGACGGAAGGCCCCCGAAAACCCGAGCCGTTTTTCGGATCGGAATCTGAGGGAGTTGGACTATGTCATAGCCCTGTTGTTCCGGTTGTTCCATGTTACTTTGTTGTCTGAAGAATAGTTTTTTGGTTTTGGACCCCCCAAAAATGGTGAGTTCCTTTTGGCCTCCCCTTACAACCATTCTAAAAGACTTGCCGGTGCTCAGTAGGGATTGAGAATTGACCCCGAGCAAAACCCATCCCACATGGTTTCCTTTATTCAAGAATCCCAAAACGCCTCATTCCGTTTCTCATCCCCACTTATCGCACCAGCACGGGGTCCCCTCAAAGACGAGTGATCCGTCTGCAGCACCAGTCGGTGAGGCCTCCGCCGTGGAGCAGATCAGGGCGGTGCTGCCGGAGTTCCAGCGCCGGCCCCAACAGCATCAGTCCGCCTGTCTCTGTTTGAGTTGGGTCTCCCTCAAAACAGGGGAACCCAGCAGGTTGGACGGTTTTAGGGAAGCCAAAGGAGAAACCCACCCACCCGGAGGATCAGAAACACTCGCAGGAAAACAAAAAACACGTTTTGGATGGGTCCTGGAGGGGCTCTCGGTCAGAAGAAACGCAGTTGGAACAGGATTCCTTTTTCTCACCAATAACTTGAGCTTCTGGTTCCGGATTCGGATTCTCAGAGTGGCCCAGTCAGGTCTTGGCTGAAAGGCTGCTTTCAGCTGTACTTTGTTTATTCCTTGAAGGCAAACCACAAGGGTATTGTTTTGATTCTTAACATTTTGCTCCAAACTCCCATTGCCACACCTCGTTTGGAGCTTGTACAGCAGTTGGCCTCAATATTGCAAGCAAACCAAC